TTTCTTGGAGTTAAAATCTGACCGTATAAATTGGATCAATTTCTTGGAGTTAAAATCTGACCGTATAAGTTGGATCAGTTTCTTGGAGTTAAAATCTGACCGTATAAGTTGGATCAGTTTCTTGGAGTTAAAATCTGACCGAGTAAATTTCTTCTTTAAAGGTGAATTTTGTTTTTCTGACAAATCGATTTCCTAGTGTGTTTTTACGTTGAAACAGTAAATGAAACTTACCTAGCAATAGTCAAGAATATTTGTGCTTACTACAAAAAAAAACTAACAAAAATGAATAAAAAAACGTTTCCCGGAGCGTTTTACTTAGAAGTTGAGACCTATTTCTGAAGAGCATAGCAAACTTCTTGGTGTACCAAAACGTTTCTCAATACTACCAAAGTAAATCTTGAAAACATTTCATAATAAAAAGAATAGTGTTTGCCGAGGATTTCGACATCCAATTTCCATAAAGTTCTTGGCTCCTTACTTTTCCATTCTATATAACAAATGCAACATTGAAGCTAATCTAAAAAACTGTTCGTAGTACGGCTTAGATTCATCCTTTTGAAATTATGCTGGCTAAGGAAAGCAAATCTAAATTTATTCACCGACTAGCTACAGTGTGACTGTCTTTTGAAAACTTCGGAGCGTAAAAAACATCTAAATTATTTCTTGTTTTTTTTATACCATGAATGCATATTTGTTGCCCGATGAGTGGCGGTTATTGATGCGTAAATTAAAATTATAATGAAAAAATATGACTGTAATAAACTAATAACAATCCAAAGTGAAAATTTAGTTTTAAACCGACGAAATGTAAAAGCACATTCAGTAATTATGTGAAACCAAACTTTAACCACTGCCAGGAAATAGATATACTCGTGGTGGTGTTATGTTGTTTTTTAGCGCAAAGCTACACAATGTACTATCCGCACTCTGTCCACCGCGGGGAATTGAACTCCGAATTTAAGCGCTGTAAGTCTGTAAACTTACCGTTGACTCAGCAGAGAACGAAATACATGTAACTCAATGAAATTAAACTGTAATTACATTACTACTTCCAATCATTGCCATAAATTTAGTTATTATTAATATTAAAGAAAACTCAATATGTATTTGTATATAGATTTATTTTGGTGTATATTCTAATACTATAAACTCCAAGACTGTTTTTATATCAATTTTTTATCACTCAGCTGAAACTGGGAGTTAAAATAGTGTCTCAGTACATATATATCCAATATTCCTCAATAGTTAAAAGACTAGAAATTTACTTACAAGAGTGAAACCAGATCATAACTGTTGTGTTGGTACTTACATCTAAGATTTCCTAATACTATGAATTTCGAATCACTCCTTCGCCAGATAAGTTTCGGAAGAGGATGTCCTGAAGCTGAACATTGGAGACGGATGTGTTCTCCCTCCTGGACTATCAACGTGGACCTATTCTCAATATCCACTATTGCAGGGGGTACTACAAGATAAGTGACAAACATCATGTTCGTTATGCTGCGTGTAAAGACTTGGGATTGTTAATCAGTATGCACTTACACGTTATGCCTAGTTCTACTTTTCATTACCACTCTTTTCTTTCTAATGAATACTCGCACATAAAAAACAAGAACAATAAAATGTTGATAACCGAAAAGCTAGGCCTAATCACGACTACTTTTTACGGGGTATATCTTTTTTTGTTCTCGTTCCACTTTTTGTTCTCTTGGAATAGGTAAGGACTTTTTCTACAAGTGAACCTTTGTTCATTAAGTTCCTTAAACAATATCTTATTAACGTAGTTTGGTGAACTACCATATATTGATATATGTTTTAATGTTTCAAACAAGAGTCATTAGCCTATACATTAATGGCACCATTTTGCTTTATTTTATTTTTGCACATTCGTGAAAATTGTTTGTTTACAAATAAAACACACAGAAAAAAATGGCAAAAGAATTAATAAAAAATCAATAAGTTCATCCACCAGCCTCCGGAACTAAGTATAATTACCAAAGTTTAATCTTTTTTTTTACTGCATTTAGAATAAAGACACTAAATTAAATCAAAACAGTCACACCAGATCTAGTGCATTAAGAAAACTGATACTCTGGAGAAGCTTCTCAGATTTGGTACATTAAGGAAACTGAGAAATAAAATAAAAGTTATTATCTATTTAACTGTTTACTTCACCGTGATGCTTTTCCATCATATTTTCGCCCCCCCCCCAGTGGCACAGCGGTATGTCTGCGGACTTACAACGCTAGAAACCGGGTTTCGATACCCGTGGTGGGCAGAGCACAGATAGCCGATTGTGTAGTTCTGTGCTTAAATTCAAACAAACAAACAAATCCATCATATTTAAATCAAGGAAAATATCCTATTTAATGTATCTTTCTACGTTTGGACAAGTGCATTTTGTTTGTAATTATGCACAAAGCTACACAATAGGCTATTTGTGCTCTGCCCACCACGGGTATCGAAACCCGGATTCTAGCGTTATAAGTCCGCAGACATACCGCTGTGCCACTGGGGGCTCGTTCGGACAAAGTTCATTAAAAAAAAAAACAGTTTTATTTGATTTTTCCAATTTCACCTTAATTTATCTTTAGTAAAAAAAACACAAAACTTACTTAATAGTTGTGTTACTTCCTTCTTGTTTATTCTCCATGACTGAATTCCGGGAGTTCCTAATGATTGGGATAAAAGAAACAAGTAGTAAAAAGTCACGACAGCGATTTTAAATTGTTATACATCTAAGACAGTAATTCTTTATTTTGGTGTGTGTCCGATCCTTATTTTTGTGCTTGTTGATTTGTGTGTGTGTGTGTGTGTGGACGAATAAGGATGATAAAGGAACTTTTTTTCTTTTATAGTTATGTAGAATCGGAATCGAATACCAAGACTTAAAAAATCTTAAAATACCAAGCATAATAAACATTCTGAGACGAAACATCATAAAAACGTTTAAAAATTATCTCAGTAAACCTGTGATCTATAAAAGTCAGTGTGTGTTACGTCACTGCACGCTTGATTTCTCGAAATAGGAGGAGCCATAAAAGCCAAAATGCATTTATCCAGATAGAACAGTTCGACTACTGTCTACCCATTACGGTTTTAGTGACAAGGGGGCCTTGAGGGGCAGGTGCCGTGAAACCTTATACGTGTAGTGTGTGTTGGTATAATAGGCCTAAAGTAAAGATGTAGCGTGGGATCACCTGGTCTAGAGCCAAGTGCATAAAATTTATCATGAAAGTAAAAATACCGATTCAATTTTAAACGTAAATCGTTTCTGAACTAGGCTATTTTTTGTTATATCACTAATATTTTAATAAAAACAAACCTCTTTAATAAGCGGAGAATCTAAATTAAGAAATCAAGAAATATTTTTCCAGTTTTGTTGTCTGTACATTTCATTTTATACTTTCATCACATAGAAACAACAATATTAGGTTATTCTTTTTATCACTAAGCAACACGACATAAAAGCCATTGTTGGAACGTAGTGTTACCAAGACGCACTGGCTTATCTATATGTTAGAATTTGTTAATCTAACTGATTTTTACCAATGATTATTCAATGAATACGCCACGAATTCATTTCATGAATGATCTTAATTTTTATTGGCTCACAAAGGAATTTACCGACGTTTGTCTGCCTCTTTGTTGGTCAAGCTTGATTTGGCAAAATTTATTTATTTCAGTTAGCTATGAAATGTGAGGTTAGGGTATACTATGGTGTGGGGATGGTAGTACTTGCCCCATCATTTTTGACAGGCTATACGCTAGTGGATCTTAATAAAAAGGAGCGATTAACCCTCTGATATTAAACTTTAAAAAATACTTATATCCTCATGCTGTAAAATGTTCAGTTACTAAGCATAACAATCTAATGTGAAGCCTGTTAAACATTCTAATACTGAAGAGCTAATTATATTCTTGTAATGTGAAACAAGCCTAATCCTACTTGATAACAAATATCATATCATGATGAATTGAAAACTTCAGTTCCAAGTTTAATCAGGTTTCATTAGCTCAGCCAGATCGGACAATAAAGCTCTTATCTGAAGGAACTTTATATCTATTTACTTTCTAAGAGGCAACATAATGTAGATTATATCAAACACACAAACACTTTGCTCTTCTTGTTATATCGAAAGATGGTTTCAACCCAAATAGCTTTAAATGTAAATTTAACACTCGAATATCTTTCACCAAACATAACGATACTCTACTCACAGCCTAGTTAGTTCAGATCTAATAAAATAACTTATAAATTATGTACCTCCGAATGTTACAAGGGTTTGAAATATAGCCAGTTCAAATAAATGTATTTTTTTTAAAAAGGAAATTCATAAAAATCACATAAGTGAAGATTCACGTAATCTTTTAATTAATTTTTAAATCCGATTTTTAATTCACTACTTCCTTCTTTCTTAACATTTTGAGAAAACCAAGATTGTTTAGAGGTTAACTTTAGGATTCAAATCATTATCGTTCCTGGCATTTTGACAGGGAGTTCAACCTCTTTCAAAATCACAGTTTAGCCTCTTGTCTTATCAAATTTGCTTTTGACCTTTATAGTGTAAAAAAGGCAGTATATAAAGTATATATATCTAATAATAATATATCTCGTCAGTTTAACACCTAGAAACAAACATGCTAATTTTCTATTGGATTCTAAACATGTAAAGTACTCCAAGACATTAGACTTTTAGTAGAAAACATTTCACTAGGCAGCAGAGATAAAACAATCCTTACAAAAATAGGCAGGGATGGGCTAAAATGTGTAATAAAGATATTTATCATTTTAATTTTTATTACGTATTTT